CTGCTGCTGCTAGCAGCGGTGTTTATTGTCTCTCTTTTGTCTCTTTTTCTGTTTTTTTCTTTTTTCTGTTTCTTTATAAACCCAAAGAAAGATGAGTTCTGCCCTGCAGCCTTCTGACACCTCTCCTCCCACTATGGAGTGTGATTCCCCTTCTCCTGCTGCAGCAGCAGCAGCAACAACAGCAGCAGCAGCAGCAGCAGCAGCAGCAGCAACAGCAGCAACAGCAAAAACAACACCCCCAACAGCACGAAGAACAGGCGGATCTATCGTTGGTGAGAGCTCATCCCTTCTAGCAGCTGACCCAGCAGCAGCAGCAGCAGCAGAAACAACAGCAGCAGCAGCAGCAGCAACAGCAGCAGCAGCACAAGTGGAAGTAATTCGTATAAGAGGCCCAGAAGACAAGCAGCATCTGCTGGAGTATATAAGAAGCAGTTACAAAACAAAACTAAAAAAACAAAGAAGAGAATGGGGGCGAGAGCCATCATTAAGGTCAAAAGAAAACCCATATATAAAAGAAACAATAAAACAAAAAACACCAATGCATGCATCTCGTATTCTGCTTTTATTTTTATATCTTTTTGTTATATTTCTTCGGGGCTGTACATATTGGGGCTGGAACGGCATGCAAGATATATTATATAAATCAGGAGCATACAGCTGGTTATGTATAAAGGATACAGATTGGGGTGTACAGACAGTGGGAGATATAAACTATATAGATTGCCCCTCAAGGAAAAACGCAATAAATAATTTATATACAGCTGCATTTGCTTCTAACTTTATTTTTTCAGCTGTGGGGGGACTTATACTCGATCGTATGGGCCCTCGTTTTACTCTGTTTGGGGCTGTATTTATAGATGCATGCGGTTGGGGTTTACTAGCTATCTCTTCTTCTTCATTTATATTTTATATTCCTGCTTTTATTCTTATTGGTATGGCTGCTGATCCTGGTTTTTTTTCTTTGCTTTGTTTATCTAATCTATTCCCTAGACAGCAGAGCGTAATTGTTGGGTTGATGGGGTCTCTTCGTTCTCTATCTTTCTCTATCCCTGTGATTATGTCGACTATATATAAACAAAGTAATTTTGCTTCAGATAGATTATGGCTTATTATATCTATTTATATTGGGGTGGGGTTGCTTGGTGTTTCTCTTTTTGTTTGTTTTTTTTTTACACCTAAAACTACATTTCTTGCTGTTGAGGATTTCAGAAATAAACACAGAAAAAAACAAATACAAAAAATCAAAGAACAAGTACTCACGCAGATACCAGCATCTTTCTTCTCTCCCTGGCAGCAGCAGCAGCAGCAGCAGAAA